CTGGAAGAGTAGAATGGCGTTAGAAAAACGCAATTGAAGCAGCTAAACAACAGTCACAAGGTTTAGAATAATCTGCACGTACCCATTCAGCACACAGGTACGCACATACACATGATAACAAATAAACGTAAATTAGAAAGTAGGCGTATAAAGAAAGCGACAAAGATGTCTCAGTGTTTACGTGTATTCAATCCATGCTTCAGATAGTTGCACAGTAGACATGTGAGAAAGTGAAACATAAACACCTGCTAACCTAAGGTCGTCAAACATGTGGTCTGTAACACTCGTACATTGCGGCTCGTCAGTTATCCAGCCATACCATGTGCTTTACATATTGCAACTGGCCTGTAGTCACTGATATCACGCATTATACACTTACTTCTCTGAATGAAATGAATGTTGTTGTTTTTCCTTTTTACGGATATCATTACTCATTGTTTTGAACAGTTATCTACAACCTATATTAAACCGTTTCTTTATACAGCGTGCCAATGTAGGCCCTTCTTCTGAATTTGCATTATGTCCTGAAGGAAATTATGGTAATAAGACTACCAGACCAAAATCCTTTTACATAATCGTTTTATCTCTATTAGCAATCGCTTCACCTCCCCAAACACCGTAACTATGCGGAGCACTTTCACTATTTTTTGCATTCTTGGCGTGACCTTGAGCCATCCCGGCAATATACCGTACTCAGAGCGGACCAGCGAGGACCTGCCTCGCCGGCTTCTGACCTGAATACAAAGAGCTTTCTGCGGCGTCCGAGGTGAGTCGGGATGGATGAATAAATTTATTTTATGGATTATCTAGGCTGACGGATGATAAGGTCGTTTGACAATTATGCGATGTCGCAAACTCTGGAATTATGCAGAGAAATGTTCTTTCTACGATGTGCCCGTCCTGTGAAGATCTCGACTCGATTTTTCTACTGCTTCTTCCTCTCCGTCTCCTTTTTCTTCTTCTTTACTTCTTGCTTTCCTTTTCTCCTCATTTACTTCTCAGTATTATCATTAACATTATCATTATCATTATTATCATTATTACTATCTATATTTTTCCTATCATCATCTAAACAGCATTTTTCGCCTTTCCTTTCTTTTCCTGCTACACTCGCTAACTGCAACCTAAATGCATATGTCAGAAAGTGTCATCCATACCACAGGGTACGCAGCTACCATGACCTGTCGTTCAGCAAGGGCCAGAGTGACCCGGCGCCAGATACTAAGGGCTATTTGTATTGATAAGAGTGAGAGTAACAAGGTGTTTGGAGTTAGCGTGTTCAAAGTAGCGGGGCTGGTATTTATTATGGCAGCGGTCGGGGCTGATTGCGAAACAGGTGCTGATGGAGATGTGGCGGTGTTGACTGGAGGAAAGGTAGCGCTGTGGGCAGCACGCACTCGCCGTCTCGGTCTACTAGTGCTGCGCAAAAAAAAAAAAAAAAAAAAAAAAAAAAAAAAAAGGAGATAGAGAAGAAGAGAGAGAGAGAGAGAGAGAGAGAGAGAGAGAGAGAGAGAGAGAGAGAGAGAGAGAGAGAGAGAGAGAGAGAGAGAGAGGGAGGGGAGAGAGAGAGAGAGAGAGAGAGAGAGAGAGAGAGAGAGAGGGAGAGAGAGAGAGAGAGAGAAAAGAGAGAGAGAGAAGAAAAAAAATAGGTGAGGTGGCCTTATTCCAGATGATGGTCAAGGTTTTCTGACCTATTGCGCCAGTATGAAGCGTGAGTCACATGTGAAATATTCAGAAACGGAGAAGGAACTACAGAAAGAAAAAAAAATACAGATTTTATGCGATTTAAAGAAACACAGACGAGTATCTATGAGAAAGAGGGAGAGAGAGAGAGACAGACAGACACAGAGAAAAGGGGGAGAAAATAAACTGAAAGACTGATTATTCATAGGAAAGATACCACCTGCATTTCGAAATGGAAGCAAGGGACTATCCCTGACCACGTTTCCACATGAGTGACCATCCACGTTAGCGCTTCCGGTATGCGGGAAGGGGAAGAGAGGCAGGAGGAGGAGAAAGAGGAAGAGGAGGAGAAAGAGGAAGAGGAGGAGAAAGAGGAAGAGGAGGAGAAAGAGGAGAGAAGGGAAAGGGGGAAAAGCAAGGAAAAGGAGGAAGAGGACAAGAAAAGAGGAGAAGGAGGGAAAAAAGCGAGAAGAAGGGAAAGAAAGGAGGGGAAGGAAGAAAAGTGAGGAGGAGGAAGAGGAAATTCGCCTTCGGATAGATAGGTTAAAATGACAAGATCGGGAAACGAGATTGCACAATGGAAACGGGAAAGACACTTATCCATATGTCTCTTATGTGTACACGACGGTTAATTGCTGTTTTAACTATTATTAGATCAATTAAGATTATTCTTATCGCTCCCCTATTGCATTTCCTTTTAAGGCAGATGGTTAAGAAAGCGAAAAGGATGGCGTTTTTCACTCACTTCTTTTCAAGATGCATTCCTGGCTCAGACACACACACACACACAAAAAAAAAAAAAAAAAAAAAAAAAAAA